ATATAATATTGGCTTTTGGAAAGAGGAAATCTTACTCATTGACCAAAAAAAAAAAAAAAGTAGTTCAAAAAATACCTTAAACTCAGTTATTTGGTTTTACATAATTAAGATTAGCCAAGGTGTTTGATTGAATTGTGGGTATCCAGGCATGGAATCCATAAAGTCTTGTCTTAATGTCTGTGTGTAGAATTTCCTTCCTAGAGTATACTTAAAGCCAGGCACTGATGACTCACTGGTAATCCTAACTCCTCAGGAGGCTGAGACTTGCAAAATGCTGGTTAAAAGAGCCTTGAAGCTTGTTTGGTTTGCTTGCTTGGGTGCCACGGAGTCACACCTTCAGCCTTGTTTTTTGGTTATTTTAGCCATAGTATCTAGTGAACTTTTCTGCTCAATCTGATTTTGAACCTCGGTGCTCCAGATTCTTGAGGAATTATTACAGGTATGAATGAGCGACCTACACCCAGCATGAAGGAATATTTTTGACACATGTTGCTCTGTGAACTTTTAACAAAAATTAATATATATTTTCAGGTTATCTGAAATTATATATGACAATGATGTTTCTTTTTTTTTTTTTGGGTCCGGTCGTGGGGCCTGAACTCTGGGCCTGGGCACTGTCCCTCAGCTCTTCAGCTCAAGGCTAGCACTCTACCACTTGAGCCACAGCACCACTTCCGGCTTTTTTCTTTTTGCTTATGTGGTGCTGAGGAATCAAACCCAGGGCCTCATGCATGCAAGGCAAAGCGCTCTACCACTGAGCCACCTTCCCAGCCCTGATGTTTCTTTTTTGAAACATGGTTGTTGTTGTTTTTTTTTTGTCAGTCATGGTGCCTGAACTCTGGGCCTGGGCACTGTCCCTCAGCTCTTCAGCTTAGGGTTAGCACTCTACCACTCGAGCCACAGCACCACTTTTGGCTTTTTTCTGCTTATGTGGTGCTGAGGAATTGAACCCAGGGCCTCATGCATGCAAGGCAAGCACTCTACCACTGAGCTGCCTTCCCAGCCCCTGATGTTTCTTTTTATTAGACAAAATTGTTATATAGGAAAGCTGAAAGAAAAAACTTGAAATAATCAGTAATCTTCCTGTCCCTAATTACTTTGAGCATATTCTATATGATGAACCATGTTAGTATGTAATCATCTATACTATGTTGAAATGCCCTTTTTTATCTTACAAAACATCGTGAATCTCTTGTAATATTGTCAGTCACATACTTTTCTAATAGGAAATATATTATGAAAAAGATTATGATTATTTCCACTAAGAATGATATACAGAATGCTCTAACTGCTTCTTGGAACACATGATTTTAAACTCATGAATATCTATAAAACAAAAAACAAAAAAAGCCCCTGGACCCTCATTAAATGCTTTCCTTGGACTTTTGTGAGGTAGCTTATAAATGGGACCATCCTTGTAACTTTTGAAATAACCAAATAGTTCTGGAAAGTATACAAACAAGTCTTAGAGCACAGCAAATTCTACTTTCTAGTAAGGACAGTGATTAGAAGCTTCCAATATGTTTCTTTTGATTTTAACTGAAATGAAGGAATTTATCTTTTGGGTTCTGCTTCTGCTTCTACATTAAAAATGGACTAAAATGGACTTACTTATCTACCTTTCAGTAATATGAAGGTTAAAGAGTTGAACATTTGTGTGTGTGTGTGTGTGTGTGTGTGTGTGTGTGTCTGTGTGTGTGTTACAGTTAAAAAAAAACAAACAAAACATTTTGTAGCTTTTCAGTAGGTGACACAGTCCCAATACCCTGAAGAGTATGCTTGTGTCAGCTCAGGCTGCTGTACCAACGCCTCAAACCCAGTGGCTTAAACAATAAGGAGTTCTGGAGACTGAAATTCCTTCATCAAGGTCTGGGGTCTTTGAGAGTCCTCTTCCAGGCTTAGGAACAACCACTATCTTGCTATATGCACATAGCCTTTCCTGTGTTCATGTGTGTAGAGGGTCTTGTTCCATTTTGGGGGCCTTGCCTGGTGACCTCTTCTCAACATAGGCACCTCCCATAGGCCTCACCTCCAAATTCCATCACAATGGGGGCGTAAAGGGTATGAGGCACAAACATTTAGATTCATTCCAGAACAGTTTAGACATCCCTCTCCTATCTTTATCCCTTGCCTTCCTAGTTCTCTCATGCTCTAGAGTATATCACTCCAGAGGAGACATATATAAGTATTTGTGTAAAATATATTGGTTTTTCCCCTCTTTAAAATGTAAATGTTGTAGTGTATGCCTTTAATCCCATTTATGAGATTGAGATCTGTGAATCACCATTCAAAGCCAGCCCAGGTAAAAAAGTCCAGGTAAACAAATCTCCAGTTAAGCAGCAAAATGTCAGAACTGGAGCATGGCTCAAGGAATAGAGAGCTCCAACTGTGAGAGAAAAAGCTGAGCAAGAACATGAGAGCTAAGTTCATGCTCCACATTTGGTGCACACACACACACACACACACACACACACGCATTCCCTCCCCCCCCCCCCCCCAGCCACCCACATGCACACCCACACCCACACAGAGTCATAATTGGGCTAGGAGGTATGTCATGGTAGAACACTTGCCTAGCATGCACAGGGCCCTGGGATTAATCCTCAGGACCTGTCCTCCCCACACATATACACACATGGACATGCACATACTATCCAAACTCACTTTTTCTCTTAAGTCTAGAGAATGTAGTCCATTAATTTTAAGCATTCTCTTGAACATTTTAACAAATTTGAAATCAGGATGAGTGTTAGAATTAAATGTTCTAATTACTATGGAACACCATGGGTATATGAAGAAGCTCTATACCTTTTTTTAGTAATGCCTATCATCCATTTATGTGAGTGTACATTTCCTTATTGGTGGACATGTGAATTGTTTCCTATTTATTGCTTTTACATACAGCATTGGATGACCTAGTACTAAATCATTGTACAGGTGTGAATTCATTGTGGAATAAATCCCCCATAGTACCAAGTCTCCTTGAGCTAAAGGATGTTTGTATTTGTAATGTTGACAGATGTTAACAATCTCCCTACCCCCAATAGGCTGTGCTACTAACAAATGTATGAGAATGTTGTCAGGACCCTGCCATCAAATTTTTGGACCTATGTCAATCTTATGGATGAGTCTTACCTCTTCATGTGCCCTTCATTTGCATTTATCTTATTGTCTGATTGGACATCATTCAATGTGTTCATAAGTTATTTGTATTCCTTTTCTAGTAAGTGTCAGGCTATTTTCTCACTGAAAATATTTTCTCACTGAGTGTTCTACACCTATATTAAGGAAAGTATTCCTTTGTCTCAAATGTGCATTATAGTTGTTTTTACCAGCCTACCATTTACCTTTTGTTTTTGCTGGCAATAGTTTTTGCCATCCAAGGGGCTCAGTGGTAGAGTGCTTGCCTTGCATTCATGAGGCCCTGGTTTTGATTCCTCAGCACCACATAAACAGGAAAAGCCAGAAGTGGTGCTGTGGCTCAAGTGGTAGAGTGCTAGCCTTGAGCTGAAGAGCTGAGGAACAGTGCCCAGACCCAGAGTTCAGGCCCCACGACCGGACCCAAAAGAAAAAAAAAAAGAATATATGTAGGGCTAAGAATGGGAATGTCTTAGTGGTACAATGCTTACCTAGCATGCATGAAACTCTAGGTTTGATTCCTCAGTATCACATAAACAAAAAAAGCCAGATGTGGTAGTGTGGCTCAAGTGGTAGAGTGCTCGCCTTGAGCAAAAAGAAGCTCAGAGACAGTGCCTAGGCCCTGAGTTCAAGCCCCAGGACCAGCACACAAACAAAAAAATATGTATATGCCCCTATATGTAGTTAAATCTTTTTATGTAAGCCTAATGGGTTTCATGACTTTCTTCTTCATTCTGGGGTGTGTATGTGTGTGTGTATTCGGGTGTGTGTGTGTGTGTGTGTGTGTGTGTGTGTGTGTGTGTGTGTGTGTGTGTGTGTGTGTGTGTATGTTCTGGTCTTTGGGCTTGAATTTAGGGCCTGGTCACTGTCCCTGAGCTTTTTGCTCAAGACTAGTGATCTTTAAACCACAGCTCCATTTCTGGCTTTTTGATAATTAATTGGAGATAACAGTCTCACAGACTTTCCTTCCTGGGCTGGCTTTGAACCTCAATCCTCAGATCTTAGCCTCCTGAATAGCTAGAATTATAGGCATTAGCCACTGGCACCTGGCCTGATGCCTTTCTTAAGAAGGCCTTTCCATATTGAGATTAATTTTTAAATCTTTTCATTGTTTTTCATTATATTTTTTCTTGTTTTTCCCTCTTACCTATTTGATGCATCAAGAATTCAATCCAGTACAATGCATTAAGTATTCATCTTTCTATTTGAAAGTTTAGTGCCCTCAGTCATTGATTAAATCTCTATACCCATCTTTTCTTGTATGCGTCTGTGTCTATTTCTGGATTTTCCTACTTAAACATTTAAAAATTGTACAAGTTTTTATACAAATCCAGTCTTGCTATAAAATATTGTAGTCAATTTTATAGAGTAAAAAAGGTCCCTTTGCTTCCTCCCATTACCTCACTTTTATTTAGAGATAATTATTGTTACAGGTTCACTGTGTATAACTTTTGGATCTTTTGCTATGGTTTATGTAGAGATGTGTGTGTATGTGTGTGTGTGTGTATGTGTGTGTTTTAAACATGTGCTTAAGAATTGTTATCCCCACATGAAATATGATACAAATCCCTCCCTCCACTCTCTGCCAACCCCGCAGAGTCCCTGGTCATCCTTAAACCTCTGCTGTGTCCCCTACACTGAATGCTTCATCCACTCTTCTACGTCTAGGTCCTTTCCAATTTCTCTGTAATTCTACCATGACTATCTACCTAGTAACTTATACCTATGAGGCTCTTTTTAGTTTGTGATAAACCTCATTCTAAAATGCTTATGCAGTTAACTTCATACATGGTGAATGAGAAAGAAAATTTAGACATTACTGACACATGATTGATATTTTATCACAATCCTATTTTTTCTAGATAAAATTTGATGCCGGGACTCTTCTGCTTAGTACACACCGACTGATTTGGAGAGATCAGAAAAATCATGTAAGGCACATCATCTGCTCTGGTTTCATATTTTGTTTTGTTTTATTTTATTGGGCCTTATGCATGCTCAGCTCACGCTTTACCATCCAGTTAAGCTACCCTTTGTTCTAGTTTTTTGTTGTTGTTGTTGGTTGTGGGGCTTGAACTCAGGGCCTGGGCGCTGTCCCTGAGCTCTTCAGCTCAAGGCTAGTGCTCAACCACGTGAACCACAGAGCCACTTCTGGTATCCTGGTGGCTAATTGGAGATTAGAGTCTCATGGACCTTCCTGCCCAGGCTGGCTTTGAACCGTGATCCTCAGATCTCAGCCTCCTAAGTAGCTAGGATTACAGGCGTGAGCCACCGGCGCCCAGCTTGTTCTAGTGTTTAAATCACTTATGTTTTATTTACCTACATGTTTAGTTAAGCATTTACCTTTGTTTGGGAAAGCAGTTTGGATGCAATGCAAATTTCTTTGTCAGTAGTGTGTCCCATGTAGACTCCAATGCAATCAGAGAGCAGTTAGGGTGTTATCCCTCATTGGACTCAGAAAAGTCTATGTCACAAATTCTGGTGACTTCTGTACTTTACACTGTAGTCAGATCCTATTCCATGCCTAAGTGTCACAGGGGAGTTATTCTCTCACCAGTTGTAAGAGGTCCTTAAAAAATGCCTATGTCCACAGAACCAACTTGCTTTCCAGACTTATTGATGAGAACCACAAGACAGGTCTGTTATGTAGTTTCTCTAGACATTGGGAAGAGCTGCCTCCATGTTACTTAGAAAAAAGAACTCTTCATAATCCAATCCCCATAATTTCTAGAGTGAGTTACGTGTATGTAGAACTAATATCTTCATGCCAAGTTCCTACTTAGCATCTGTGAAATCCTAAGTTCAAGCCCTAGGACTAGAGAAAAAAAGAAAGAAGAAAAGGAGTAACAATGGCATATTTATTTAGACAGGTTATTATGATTCCAGGCTGCCCTTGAACTCACTATTCTCCTGTTTCAAACCCCTGATTTCTAGGGTTACAAGTGTGTGTGCACCACACCTGCTTTTAAACCTTATATGTTCTCCTATGCAGCAAAATGCCAATAACAACATTGCTTTTATTTAACTTTTCTGTAAGTTTATCTAAGGAGGTAGAGGTATAGCTCGGTATAGCTTTTATGCATCAGGTCCTAGGTTTCATCCCTGAGCTTGCCAAAAAATAAATAAATAAAGGCAATAAAATGATGGTTTGTTAAAAGTGTTTTAATTATCAAGTACCTTAGAGGTTCATGGCGTGCTAATGCTGTAGAACAAGGGTTTCCAATGGTGTTATAGTTCTCCTCTTGTATTGTTTCTTCCTAGGAATGCTGTATGGCCATTCCTTTGTCCCAAATTGTATTTATTGAAGAACAGGCAGCTGGAATTGGGAAGAGGTAAGGTTTATTTGTTGTAGCGCTAATTCACAAAAATGTTTACTGTTATACTATTGCTCATGTTAATATAACCTTTAGATTCATTCTTAAAGTATGGCTAAAGTGCTAAAGTTCTCTGTAATACCCTTGGATACTAATGAATAAATAGGTATATGTTAAAAAATATTGAGAACATTTACTTTCAATGTGTGTGTGTGTGTGTGTGTGTTTAAATATCTATTAGGAGAAATTTAATGTTATGTCAGGTCAACTTTCTTTAGTATTCTCTTTAGTTCCCAATCCCTTCATCTCCTCCCAAATATTACCATTTTTGCATTCATTTAAAGACATATTTTTTTCACTTTTTAACATCAGAACTTCTGAACTCAAGATGCCTTTTTTATTTTGTTAGTTTTTAATTTGATAAAATGTAATAAGTGAATAAGCTAATACAAATATGGACAAATTGACATGATTTTTAAATTTGGGAACTCTTAAACTTCATTTTGTACCATTATCTTGTGGGTTTTGTGTGTGTGTGTGTGTGTGCCAGTTCTGGTCTGGGCACTGTCCCTGAACTTTTTTTTAAAATATGTTTTTTATTGTAAAAATACTGTACAGAGGGGTTATAGTTACATGAGCAAGGTAATAAGTACATTTCCTAACAAGCATTGTTGCCGCCTCCTTTGTTTTTCCCTTACCATCCCTTCCCTCTCATCTCCACAACTACATTCTCCCTCCCCCGCACCTAAATTGTAAAGTTCGTTTTTCAACATAGCACCTTGTACATCTCATTGTTGCAATGGGTCAACCTTTATCCCTATTTAAACAATTTGTTTTTTTCCTTCTGCTCCCCAAATTATACCAACATCAAATACAGTGAAAACAGGGATTATACCTTGGGGGAGGGACATACAAAGCAACAAAAAAATCACATGGTACCTTGTAATTACGTTAGAAACAATAGCAATAAAGAAAAAACCACTTATGTCCTTATCTTGGGGTTCATTTCACTTAACATCATCTTATCTGACCTTTTCTGCTTGTGTTTGTTTTGTTTTTGTTTTTAAGTTTTTAGTTTTTTTAATTTTTAATTATTGGTTTTCCTTTTCAGGACCTGACAGTAGGACCAAGGGTTTTTAGTTTTACAAATGGCTCAGTCACTATTATAGAATAGTGAGAGCTTTGTTGCTATACTTGATGATATATTCCAAACAGTGCTGGAGTCCTGCTTATATAGTGTATTAAAGGTATTGCTCACCTGTTGTAAAGATGTTCACTATCAAGAAGTAGTAAAGAGTCCTTACAAAAACTGGTCCCAGTTCACTAACAAAAACATGCTTTCCACCAAGGAGGCCTAACTTATGATGTGTCAATTTCACAGTGATATTTAGACAACAAATAGGTCCAAACATAAAGGAAATCATTCAAGAGGTACACCTGTCATGTGATGAGAAAGAGAAGCCTTTAGGGTTTGGTTTGTAGCTCAGTGGTAGAGTACTTAGCAAGTACTCTACTTTAAATGTATCCAGGAAATTTTGATTGGGTTTTTTAGTTTCCCTAATCTTTATAGAAGATTGTTTGTTGAGCATGTTGGAAAAAAATGGAGGAAAACAGACATAAAGCTGAACAAATATGATGGTATTTTTAATAGCATAGAAGATAACTGCAGTCATAAAGATAATAAGTAGCTCATGCCCATAAGACAGCAGCACTTTGAGAGTTGTTTTCCCTATTGACTGAGCAGCATTTTCCGACAAATGACACTGTAGAATGTTAGTTTTGGATAGGATTTTAATAAAATATCAGCTGGCCAGTTTTACAGATCATTTTCATGTTTTGTTTTCAAATGAGTAAAGTAGTATGCTTTGGCAGAAATCATAGACACTCCCCGTTGTCCTCATCCGTCCCCGTCCATCTGTCTCCCCCTCCCCCAGAACCCCTGGGGATGACTCTGTAGATGGAAAACCCTAATCAGGAACTGCTCAAAAACTTGAGCTTATTTTCTTTTATTTATATAGCTAGTAACTTGAAACTTTGGTTCACACTTTTAAGTCTTAAGTAGGAATACTTTTGAAAGCTTCATTGATTCTGACAATATAAAATTTTTTGTGTGTCAGTCTGGGGCTTGAACTCAGGGACTGGGCACTGTTCCTTTTTTGCTCAATGCCAGTGCTCTACCACTTGAGCTACATCTCTACTTTTAGCTTTTTTAGTGATTAATTGGAAATAAGAGTCTCATGGACTTCACTGCTCAGTCAGGCTTTGAACCATGATCCTCAGATCTCAGCCTCCTGAGTAGTTAGGATTAGAGGTGTGAGCCACCAGTGCCTGTCTGAATAAGTTATTTTCTAAAGTCAATTAAATGTATTACACTTGTTCTCTTTAGTGCCAAAATCGTGGTTCATCTGCATCCAGCTCCTCCTAACAAAGAACCTGGTCCTTTCCAGAGTAGTAAGAATTCCTATATTAAACTCTCCTTCAAAGAACATGGCCAGATTGAGGTAAGTTTCCATCTGAATAAAATGGGACTAGAAATGTGTGTGTGTCTTTTTGATTGTTAATATGGTACAATAAAAAACATAGGCTTCACCACTTTTTACAATGTAATCATTTAAAGTCTTAAGCCTTATCAGAGAGTGAAGGGTTTGTGTTTTAGGTTGTAGGGAATACAGAAAACAAGAGGTAATGGTTAAAGGGAGGGACAAATAGGCTGGCATGCTACTAGGTTAGCTATTAGTAGGTAGTTTGGTTCAAAAACATAGCATAATGATGAACTGAAGTAGTATCTGAAAGTTCACCAGCCTTAAATCAGGTAGCCTTATCTTGATTAACTCCATACAAATCTAGTTGCATAAATACTGAGGCTTTAGTGTAATACTTAATATATTCTGGGTATTATATCACTGTACAAATATTCTTTAGACATTAAGAGGTGTGTCTTTATTGAACATCTGTATCATCAATATTTACTGTCTATAGCACACATCGTGAGCTGCAGGTATAAGTGATTAGAAAAAATGATTGTCACTGTGCTTGAAAAATTGATTTTTGCTTGGTGCCTGTGACTCACAGCTATATAATCTGAGCTACTTAAGATGCTGAGATCTAAGGATTGTGGGTTGAAGACAGCCAATGCAGAAAAGTCTGTGAGACTGCTATCTTCAATTAATGAGCAAAAAACTGGAAGTAGAGCTGTGGCTTAAATGGCAGAGCACTGGCTTAGAGTAACAGGGATAGTGTTTGAGTTCAAGCCCCATTATTGGTACCAAAAAAAATTGACTTATTTTTCCTAAGTGTGTTTACTCCCTGTTTTGGCTTCATGTTTTAACTAAACGAATTATTTTCTGCTTCCTGTATGGAAAAGATTTTTTTTTCTGGCTCAGTGTTTGTTTCAGTATGGATGGGAAACAGTCTCTCTCTATGTACAGGATTGTTTAAAATAAGTCTATTTATTTCATTGTCACTCATGTCTTTGTTGAGAATAGCCCACTTTATGTAGAAGGTCAGTTCCTTTTTTTTTTTTTTGCTTTGTACTTTCTGAAGTTGGTCCAAGAACACAACTTCCTTTGATTTTCTTTGATGTTTCTGAGAATCCTAGGTTTTTTTGCAAATGACTGACTTTTATGCTAAAGAAATGTCAATTGATAATTTGTTGGAGGATGCCACAGCCTGACTGCCTTACTAAAGCGTGTGTGTGTGTGTGTGTGTGTGTGTGTGTGTGTGTGTGTGTGTGTGTGTGTGTGTGTGTGACAGTTTTACAGACGTTTATCAGAGGAAATGACCCAGAGAAGATGGGAAAATATGCTAGTTCCCCAGTCATTACAAACCAACAGAGGACCCCAGGTATGTCATAGCTAATCTGCTCCTTTCATCTCTTAAATTTAACTAAGAAAATCATTCTGTAATTATTATAGAACTTGCCAAAAACAAAACAGTAATATTGTATTACTTTTCATAGCACTTAGTCTGGCCAACAACCATAGACAGCATTCAGATGTAAGAAAATAGCTTGGTTAATAACTACCAAGTACTAAAATTTTAGGTACAACAAATTTTTTTGTACATCTGACACTGTTAAATACTTATTGGCTTGCCAAAGAACACAAATGAATAGGAATTTAATTTATGTCTAACATATGGAATAAACATGCCATTTATTATTTATTCATTCAGTTTTTTTTTTTTAATTTTTTTTTTAATGTATGAACTGGGCACATGTGGCTCACACCTGGAATCCTAGCTACTTAGGAGGCTGAGATCTGAGGATCGAGGTTCAAAGCCAGCCCAAAGCAATAAAGTCCTCAAGTTTTTTTGTTTTTTTTTTTTGAGTCCGGTTGTGGGGCCTGAACTCTGGGCCTGGGCACTGTCCCTCAGCTCTTCAGCTCAAGGCTAGGGCTCTACCACTTGAGCCATAGCGCCACTCCTGGCTTTTTTCTTATGTGGTGCTGAGGAATCGAACCCAGGGCCTCAGGCATGCAAGGCATGCCTACTCTACCACTGAGTCACCTTCCCAGCCCTATTCATTCAGTTTTTTTCTGCTGATTTGAAGATCTTTATGTGTAGCCAGAAGCAAACAGATGTTTTGAAAGGAAACTAGATGTAGTTACTTGTATAATTGTTTCTTTGATTCTCTGTAGGTCTTTTCCCGCCATTAAAAACATAGTGTAGTTAACAAAAGATTTTGTTTCCTTCCCATTTTGTGTGTTTCATGTTCTACCTTATTTTTCCCCTTAGCCAGGAAGAGTAAGAGCTGTGGGAATTGTAGGCATTGAAAGGAAACTGGAAGAAAAAAGAAAAGAAACAGACAAAAATATTTCTGAGGTAATTTTTTTCTTTTTAGTTTAACTCAGAGTTTATTGAATGATATCAAAGTAATTTAACAGATCAGTAACTTGAAATAAGAGAGTCACTCACCAGTCACTGAAACAATCTAAGACTGAGGTAACTCTTAAACTAGTTCTGGTTGGCCATCTTCTTCATCTACGTATATATATTCTTTTTTTTTTTTTTTTTGGGTCCGGTCGTGGGGCCTGAACTCTGGGCCTGGGCGCTGTCCCTAAGCTCTTCAGCTCAAGGCTAGCACTCTACCACTTGAGCCACAGCACCACTTCCAGCTTTTTTTTCTTATGTGGTGCTGAGGAATCGAACCCAGGGCCTTGAGCATGCAAGGCAAGTGCTCTACCACTGAGCCACCTTCCCAGCCCTATATATTTATTCTTGGCTTGGCTACAGTTGTGACTAATTCTGTTATTTCTGTAATTTTGGAGTATATTTTATTTGCCTCAAGCTCCACAGTCTCCTCTTTATAGATCTACCTTAGATGGACATCATTTAACTAAAACATATTTTAAAAATTTATTTGTAGCCAGGCACTGGTAGCTCATACCTATAATCCAAGCTACTCAGGAGGCTGAGACCTAAGGATGGCAGTTCAAAGACATCTGGGGCAGGAAAGTCCATGAGACCTTTTTTTTGGGTCCGGTTGTGGGGCCTGAACTCTGGGCCTGGGCGCTGTGCCTCAGCTCTTCAGCTCAAGGCTAGCACTCTACCACTTGAGCCACAGCACCACTTTCGGCCTTTTTCTTTTTGCTTATGTGGTGCTGAGGAATCGAACCCAGGGCCTCATGCATGCAAGGAATGCACTCTACCGCTGAGCCACCTTCCCAGCCCTCCATGAGACTCTTATCTCCACTTAACGTCCAGGAAACTGGGAGTGGTACTATGGCTCAAAGTGGTAGAGCACTAGCCTTGAGCACAAAGAGGTTCAGGGACAGCACCTAAGCCCTGAGTTCAAGCTCCATGACCAACAAAAACAATTATTTGTAGAAAGTTAAAAAAACACAATTTGTTTTCTGTTAGAAAATAACATAGGGATTGAAGGCATGGCTCAGGTGGTAGAATGCCTGCCAATGATTGTAAAATATCAGATACTAAGAGTCCCCATCTTGGACAAAAAACAAAAATAAGTAGTTATCCTAGAATGCCATGTAGTTTTAATGATGTAGTTGATTAGAAGATACTTTTAGTGAACTCTTAAGTTTTCTATATAATTATTTTTGAAATTGAGTTAATTTAGTTGAAATAAAAATGTTATCTGTGGCTACTGTCTCTGGGCAGCTACCACACAGTTTTATAATTAGGATGACTTGGGGACTAGACATATACCATAAGAGTGGCTCAAATCAGCCTGTTGCGTCTACTCAGAGTCAACCTGAAACAAATACGTTTCTAAACTTCATTATAAATGAGGAATTGGAGTTAATTCTACTTAAGAAAGAACTCTAGTTAGAAAAACCAGGCTCATGCTTATAATTGTAGCTACTCAAGGGGCTGAAATATGAGGATGGTGGTTTGAAGCTAGCAGAAAAGTCTGTGAAACTCCTTATCTCCAACTAATCAAAAATGCCAAACAGGAGGTAAAGATAGAAAGCAAACAAAGCTGAGCAAAAGTGTGAGGTCCTGAATAAAAGCCTCAGTACTAGAACAACAAGAAGAAAGCCAGTTATGATTAGATTCTACAATTAGTTAATACACCTAAACATGCCATTGTTGCATTAGTCAGCTTTGTATTACAATTTCTGTAACAATATGCCTGAGAGGATCAATTTATAAACAGGAAAGGTTTTTTTTAGTTCATAGTTTTAGAGGTTTTGGTCCATGAATTGTTGGTTCTATTTCTTTGATGCTAGAAGACTAGCTTTAAAATAGGTGTGTTATATATGTGCAGTACACATTCAGTCACATCTCTCATGGAGTTTTGTTTTCAGATTAGGTATGTTTGGGCCACCAGTCCTTATGCTGATCTCTCCTCCAGTCACTTTGGAATCTGAAACTTATTCTCTAGCAGATTCTTTAGGAAGGTCTCATGAGAATAATATTCTGTGTATCTGGCAGATATCTGTGTTTGTGATTTCAGAATTTTTAAAATTTCAAGGATGCTTTTCTGTATTACTATTCTCAAGACCTTCTTCTGGGACTGTTTATTAGTTCTATGGTACAGCTTTCCTGCCTGTCTTTACTATTTGCAGTTTTTCTTCCAATGCCTTTTATCTTTTAATTTCTTTCTTTTCTTTAGAAAAGAAAGATGATAATTAGTGCAGGCTTTATTTTCAAAGCGGTTTTTCTTTTAATCCTATCCTGAGTCTTATTACCTGCTTTCTGATTTAGATTGTCCGCTCATAGCTTCCACCACCTTAACATCCTGTAGCACAAGTTGATCTCCTCCATAACATGTCTATCTGGCATGTTTTCAGTGTACAGCATTATTCTGTTCTGCATTGTCTTTATTCTTACTATAACTGGATGAGGTTGGACTTTTGACCTTTTGCCATGGTTCATTTTCACATGGAATTAGTAGCTCTAAACTTTTAGTGTGACATGAAGTTTAGGGCAGCTTCTTTTCTTTTTGTTTTTTGAAGTATAATTTTATTGTTATTATTAAAATGTTGTACAGAGGGTTTACTGTTTCATAAGCCAGGTAATTAGTACATTTCTTTTTGGATAGCGTCACCCCTTCCTTTGCTTTTCCCCAGTTTCCTTCTTCCATTCCTGCCCATAAATTGCATAGTTCATTTCTACATAGTGTCTACTGAGTCCCAGTCCACTCCTTAGCTGTTGCCATGCATGGTGAGAAATTTTGCTGTTTCCTCCACTTGTTTCTATCTCGTTTTTACGTGGGCCTTTTTCCTTCCTATTATTACTGCTTTGTTCAATTCTGATCCTGCTTTGGGAAATTGCTCCCCTGTCCTAGAAGAGAAGCCAATGGACCAGTTTCAAGAATTCATAGGCTGCTTCATCATCTTCAATCTCTATTGGGGACTCCTTGGCCTCACCACCTTGAAGTGGGTGAAACCCTCTCAATTCCAGGCGCTGCCCTCCCACTGGCCTTCCTCACTTTCCTGTGATTACCTGTTGTCTTTTTAGGGTTCTCATGCCCAGATCTGACAGTTGAAATGCTGTTTCAAGACTAATTTTTTCCGGGCTGGGAAGGTGGCTCAGTGGCGGAGCGCTTGTCTTGCATGCATGAGGCCCTGGGTTCGATTCCTCAGCACCACATAAGCAAAAAGAAAAAAGCCACAAGTGGCATTGTGGTTTGAGTGGTAGAGCACTAGGCTTGAGCTGAAGAGCTGAGGGACAGCGCCCAGGCCCAGAGTTCAGGCCCCACGACTGGACCCCCCCCCTCAAAAAAAACCCCCCAAAACAAAAAAAGACTTATTTTTCCTGCATTAACATCCTGCAGGCCTCCCCACCCACTCTTACCCCCATCTGCTTGTATCTTAAGCTTTCTGTCAATATTGTGGAACTTAGTTTAGTAGTATATATTGTCTATAGGTTTTAGGCTTTTAGATCTGGTTGTCCTGACCACTATTGTCTTGGGATTTTTTTTTTTTCATGATAAAACATTCTTTCTTTTACAACCCCAACATGTATTGGGATTTAAAAAGATTCAAAGCCTAGCTGCCACAACCCCACCTTCCCAGGCTCTGCTTTCTCATGAAATTCTGACCTTTTAGCGTTTGAAGGATTCTTCAAAAGAATTGTTTCAGAGCAAGTGACTAATTTGGAGGCTGGGATTGAGCCCTGAGGTCTCCAGATTGAGGCAAGTGCACAGTACACTATGTCATCGTTATCTTCACTATGCCACTTGGGAGATACTGACACTGGCCTTCCTCAGCAGCACCATTGTCATCCTCTCTGTGTTCACACTTGTAGGACAGTGAACTACCTTGTATTATTTGTATTCCTTTAAAAAATATTACCATACCACCTTGGTGTTATACTCAAAGAGTTTTTGTTTGTCTTTTGAACAGGGTCTCCCTCTATGTCCCCGGCTGACTTTAATGTCTTAATCCTCCCGCCCTAGACTGATGAGTGCTGGGATTGTCAGTGTACACTACCACAACTGGCTCAAAATAGAATTTTTCTCGATATTTGAAATGTTATTCCTTTGTAGTCTATTTTTATGGGCTTAAAGATTTTACATGAGCACTGTGCTCAATTATGCAGATCACTGCTTTATTTAATCCTTACTCTTTACTCTGCTGGGCCCTGCATCAGATTCCTGGACACTGTGGTAATGTGCCAGGCACAGGCAGGCCAATGGGCATTAATGTCATCTTGAGAAATGTCTCTGAGGAGAAAGTATAGGCCTATCAGGGCCTCTACCTCCTGCTGGTCATCCAGTAAACAGAAGTGTGGACTTACTTCAAGACCTGAAAGATGAGTAGATGTTAACAATGATCAGCAGGATAAGAGGAATTCAGCTAAAGGTAGCAGGATAGACCAAAGTACAGAATGAAGAATATTACAACTGAAAATTCAAGCATGTTAGTAGTTACTGAAACTATTAGCCCAAGTATGACTACAAGTCAGTGAGAAGTGATGCTGTTAGTGTAAGAGGGTACCATTGTTTTCCAAAGTTGGGGTGGAATTTGACTGTGGTAGAGGGCTATAAGGGTCTGTAAAGTAGCTGACAAAATAGTAGTGTGTACCTGCATCTGTCTGGCTTTAACTTTTGTTGTGGATAGTTTTTCCATTTATGTTTTGCTGGTTAGCTTATTCCAAATTTTAGAATAAGAACAGAAATAAAAGTAAGGAAGCTTCTGTTTGTGCTTTCTAGTTACTTAACATTTCTTATAATTTTACAGACAATTCTAGGGCAATTCTTCTATCTGCTTTCTGTTGACTATAAGCAATAAAGGTTAATACATATATTCCAAGTGGATTCCCTGTTTTAGTGTATCTTTCATGAAAATATAATACACTATATAGTGATTTTCCATAGCACATTTTATCTTACTAATTTTCACTATACTTATAAAGCCAATCTGTTAATTGTATAAATCAAAGTGTGCCAAGTAAAAATCTTGTGTGCAAAATGTCTGTGTGTTTTACTTTGGGGAACTGAGTTGGTATGTAAGCATGTAAATTACCACCTATTTAAATACTAGTTGACTTAGTTTCAGAGCTGGTGCCTGGTGCTTCTCACAAAGGGCTTCCTGCATCTGTGGCTACTGCTGATAAGAATCCAGTGTTTGAGCCTTTTGTTTATCTGAGGAAATTCCTGTTAGGTGTGTGCACATTCCCCTTTGTTTCCAGTGTTACCCTTAGTCTGCCATAAGAATCTTACACACACTCTATTCTTTTAGCAAAGTCCTTTTATAGATGAGGATACGTCCCTGCAGATGGGCTCAAGCAGATCAGAGCCACCATTGTATACATCGAACCTAATGACAAGCTACCTTGTTGATTTAACTTAATACCTGTGTACATCAATTAGATAAGAAACTCAACATTAGCAATATTTTCCAGTAATTTGTGGTAATTTAATGAAAGTGTCTGTTTAGGTTTGGAAGGGCCTTTGAAGTAAAATATGCTGTAATGAGTCAAACAATTGATAGATTTTATTTTGATAATTTTGGTGGTATTCAAATACTTTTGTGTCACATATCTGCTATATTCAAAACTACAGGTCTAAAGGTTGGGTTTAATACTTGGAGGCTGAGGTACTAGTTCAGTTTAATCACACCTGCTATACAATCAAAGTTATTGTGCCCACAAAAGTTTCCTGCAGCTGTGTTTTGCTATTTGTGATCAGGAAGCTTTGCAATGCCTTTGAATCCTGAACTCCGATCAGGAAAAACCAATGAAAGATTCCCTCCCCCTCCTCCCCCCACCCCCAATACTGAGGAGCAAACCCAGGCCACAACCCCAGTTTCTGATTTGTGTCAAATAGCAGAAAACAGTATCTTTGTGAACTGTTATTGACATTATCTCTTATTTATTTAACCAATAAATACTATTTCCTTTTAGAAAATTTGGATGTTTTGTTGCAGTTTGTATTGGAAAATTTATGGTTTCTTAGCTATGATGGATTTAAAAAATAAGATAGATAAGGTATATAATTATTAATGAATTGATACTGGTAAGAAAATTTTATATATATGGGAGAAAAGAGTGTTTTGTTGTTTATAAATATTTTAATTTGGTAGAGTTCAACAAAAATTTCATTTTCATTTCAGGCCTTTGAAGACCTTAGCAAGCTAATGATCAAGGTATGTATAGCTCACACCCTAGAAGTACATACAGTCACCATACAGCTTTGAAAATAGAGTTTATCTGACAATACTTTGACTAGATGATCTCTTTTTAATCTTCTCTTTTGACAGGCTAAAGAAATGGTGGAGTTATCAAAATCAATTGCTAATAAAATTAAAGAGAAGCAAGGTGATGTCACAGAAGATGAGGTAAAGATGTTTTTTAAAGGCGTGAGATCTAAAGTACAATAATACAGTGATATTTTTATGGGTTAGCTGTTGGCTTTCTTTGTTTTCTTTTTTTTTTTTTTTAGGGGGCGCCTTTGGGTCTTGAACCCAGGGCCATCGTACCACTGAGCTACCCTTGCAACTCACTCCCTCAGTTCTCTCTCTCTCTCTCTTCCTCTTCCTTTCTCTCTTTCTCTCCTTCCTTCATTCCTTTATTCCTTCTTTCCTTCCTCTCTTTCTCTTTCTCTCTTCCTCTCTCTCTTGCATTTTTCAAAGTAAAGAGAGCATGTTTATTTGCAAGTGAAAGGAAAGTCATGAAAGGAAAGACTTGAGACTCTCCATCTAGAGATGGGTCTAAAGAGGAGTCTTCTGCTCTCTTTCTTAATGTAATGTTTTATTTCATTTAGAACTTGAGGGTGTGAAAGCAAAGAAAAAGTAGACCATAGGAATTTTGTTAGTTCTAATGGGATTCAAGGTTATTTCAATGCTTTTTTTTTTTTTTTAAGACAATAGGAAACAGACTTGCTGAAGTGTTTTTTTTTTTTTTTTTAATTTTATTTTATTTGAGAACATACTGTACAGAGGGGTTACAATTACATGGGCAGGATAATGCATACATTTCTTACCAAGCATTGCAGCCTCCTCCTTTGTTTACCCTTCACCTCCCTTCCCAGCCTCCCCCCTCCCCCCCACCCAATCCTTCCCCCCTCCCCCCCTCCCCCCCACCGACAGGAGTATTTGGTATATATCCTTAAGTTTCAGGTCTGTTTCATTAAATTTGTCTATAATATGAACGTGTCATTTTTCCTTTCTAAGTTTTCAGTTGTGTCATCTGGTTAGTATTAAAAATTGCATGGTGATTACCTAACTCTTTCCTCACACCAAACTTGTGAAGTAAATAGTTTGGGGATCAAGATATAAAAATGAAGATAGTTTGATTTTTGCAAGGAATTACTAAAAAATGGACTGTCATATAGTTCACAGAATTGAAATTCAATAAAGAAATGGGTTTATAGAAAAACAATTGAACAGTATTGAATTTATAATGTAAGGATTTCAGGCACTGGGATAGACAGATTGTTCTGCACAGTATTCTAATGCATTTTCTCCTCTTACTATAGACCATCAGGTTTAAGTCCTACTTGCTGAGCATGGGGATAGCCAACCCAGTCACCAGGGAAACCTATGGCTCCGGCACACAGTACCATATGCAGCTGGCCAAACAACTGGCTGGAATATTGCAGTCACCATTAGAGGTAAGGTCAAACCTCAATGTCCTTTAAAAACTGCATTGAATCATTTCCATGTCATCAGAAACCTTAGGAGCATGAATTCTTTCATAATGTGGTTACTATCAGCCTATATTACTTTTCTCTCAGGAGTATTAAATTAGCTCAGTATACTAATTAATTATTATTTATCTTTATCTTCTAAATGGTTTACAATTTATCTTTATCTTCTAAATTGCTTACAATATCCATTTCAGGTATCTATCTACGTATATATTTAAATCTATTTGATAGGAAGATGTTTTTTTCAGTACTAGAGTTTGACTTCAGGGGCCTCAAGCTTGCTAGACAGCACTCTGCCATTTGACCCGTGCCTCTTAACCCCCTTGTACATTGATTATTTTAGATAGGGTCTCACTTTATGCCTAGGCCATCCTAGGCAAAGAGCCTTTTATTTGTGCTTCTTTGTGTCATTGGATGTCAAGTACATACCACTACATTCAACCATTGATTGAGATGAAATCTTTCCAACTTCTTTGTGCCCACGCTGGCTTCTAATTATGATCTCCTGATCACCCTAGCTGGCCTCTCAAGTAGCTAGGATTATGGGCTTGCTTGAGCCATCCAGCCTGCCTGATAGGAAGACTTTACTTTCAAAAAAATAATCCCTACTACTCAGGAGGCTGAGATCTGAGAATCAAAGTTCTGTGCTACCTGAACAGACAGATCTCCAATTAACCAGCAGGAATCCAAAATTGGAATTGTGGTTCAAATGATAGACTACCAGCCTTGAGGGAAAAAGCCAACTGAGAGCAATAAACCCTGAGTTCAAGCCTCAGTATTGGCACACACAATACATACACATATACATATATACACACACATTCCCTCCATATGTCCATATATTTATATATATACATATACATGTATATATAATAAATATCTAGTCTTTCATGTATATTAATTTATGTATATTAATTTTATTATATAAATTCTTCTAGTTTAACAGTTTTCAGGTGATAAAACCTCTGTTGAAACACTTTTTTTTTGCAAGTCCTGGGGCTTGAACAACTCAGGGTTTAAGTGCTATCCCTAAACTTCTTCTACTCAAGGCTAGAGCTCTACCACTTGAGCCAAGCTCCACCTCTGGCTTTTTTGGTAATTTATTGGAGATAAGAATCTCTATTAAAACACTTCTTTTTTTTTTTTTGTCGGTCGTGGGGCTTGAACTCTGGGCCTGGGCGCTGTCCCTCATCTCTTTAGCTCAAGGCCAGCGCTCTACCACTTGAGCTACAGCGCCACTTCCGGTTTTCTGGTGGTTTATTGGAGATAGGAGTCTCATGGTCTCTCCTGCCCGGGCTGGCTTTGAACCGCGATCCTCATATCTCAACCTCCTGAGTAGCTAGGATTACAGGCGTGAGCCACCAGCGCCCGGCTATTAAAACACTTCTTTAGAAATATTTTTACATTTCTAAAGAGGGTTTTTAAAATAATGTGAATGTGCTGGGCGTTGGTGGCTCACACCTATAATCCTAGCTACTCAGGATGCTGAGATCTGTGGATCGTGGTTCAAAGCCAGCCCAGGCAGGAAAGTCTGTGAGACTCTTAGGTCCAGTAAACTACTAGAAAACTGGAAGTGGCACTGTGGCTCAAGTGGTAGAGCACTTACCTTGACCTGAAGAGCACAGGGAGAGCGCCCAAGCCTAGAGTTCAAGCCCCATGACTGACCCCCCCACCAAAAAAAAATGGGTGTTACTTACAGAATTGTGCTATTAATAAATTGATATTTATAAGGAAATTTCATAAATCTGTGTCAGAGGGGCATAGCTGAAATAAGTTAAAGCACTGAAGTATCCTTTTATAACATGGCATAGAGGCCCTTCTTTTTATTTAGACAAATGCTGAAATAGTACAAACACTGATTTAACATGGCTTGGTATCTTGAAAAAACTTGGTAAAAAGTGTTAGAATTTGTGACTTCACTCTGATTATGATTTCAGTTACAAAGAGCTCAAGTAGACTGATGGTAATTCTGATTCTCACTTTTCTTTCCTATTTAAACAGGAACGAGGGGGAATTATGTCACTCACAGAGGTGTACTGTTTAGTAAATCGAGCTCGAGGAATGGAAGTAAGAACATCATGTTTCCATGTTCTTTCAGTTATAGTCTTTCTTGATAGAATACAAATTCCCTTCCAGCAGCTACCATTTGGGGAAAGGTTGTAAATATAAAGCTATTTTGAGAAGTGTTGTGGTGAAGTGGGAAGAACCCTTCCCTGGGATCTTGGAAGGAGAGTCTGTTTCTGGTTTTGCCAGTGCTTTGCTGAGTGGCCTCAAGTAGCTTATTTAACCTCTCTGGGACTCAGTTTTCTCCTAAGATTAGAGTTTGGATTGTTGCCCTTCAGCGCTACTGTTCTGTGTGGTATTATAATGAGTGAGGCTGTGCACAAAGCCCTTTTCTTCTATAGCTAACCCTTTAGAATTTATGCAGCTGAACCCACATTGCCATGTAGGCAGCTCTGGTCACCCTGTTCCTCTGGCTGAATATCAGCAAGGACTGTTCTGCCCTTCTCCTTACCCTGTCACCTTCAGACAGCCTTAGCTTCTGGTCAGCTGGCATCTCCATACAACTTATCTATATCTTTCCAGCCATCACTCCAGTCTTATGAGTAAAGCTTCTGTTCTGTTCTGTGTTTCATTTGCTAGTTGTAGCAGCCATCCATGAGTATTTTTACTGTCTGCCTTACATACTGCAGTGGTATTATACTTCTTACTCAGTGTGGTAGCTACTCTTACTATCCTCATCTCTGGGATTACTTGGGGATCAGGAAATAACTTAACCAAGGCTACACCCAGACATACACCCCTGATTTGGAATCAGGCCTGTCTGGCCCTGGAGCCATCCTGTGTGATTCAAAGCTGTGCTTGTCCCTCCCTGTCCTCCACTGTGCAGACTGTAGGCCTGGACTATCCAGGGGTACCCCTTGTAGCTACGTGTGGCCATGTGGACTTAGTACACAATAAAGAAGTGTTAAATGAGCCTGTAATCCTAGCTACTCGGAAGCTGAGATCTGAGAATCATGATTTGAAGCTAGCTCAGGCTGGAGACTCTTATCTCCAATAAACTACCAAAAAGCTGGAAGTAGAGATATGGTTCAGGTGATAGAGCACTAGCCTTGAGCAAAAAGAAGCTCAGGTTCAAGCCCCAGGACTGTCGTCAAAAGAAAAAGGAAATGGCAGTATCTCATATATTTCGTGTGTGTGTGTGTGTGTGTGTGTGTGTGTGTGTGTGTGTGTGTGTGTGTGTGTCTGTGTGTGTGTCTGTGTGTCTCTGTGTCTGTGTGTGTGTCTGTGTGTGTATACTCATGCATGCTAGAGATGAAACCCAACCTTGATGCATGCTAGGCAAGTGTTCAACCACTGAGCAATTCTCCCAGATTCCCATTTTTACTTTTTTTGTGACTACTAAAAAATGTTAAGTTATACACGTGGTCTGAATTATATCTGCTTTGGGGTGTGTGTGTGTGTGTCTGTGTCTGTGTGTCTGTGTCTGTGTGTACTACTACTGGGGCTTGAACTCAGGACCCGTGCTCTCACTTGGCTTTCTTGTTCAAGACTGGTGCCCTACCACTTGAGCCATAGCTCCACTTGTCTTTTTTCTAGTTAATTGGAGATAAAAGTCTCTTGGATTTGTCTGTGCTATCTGGCTTTGACCTCAGTCCTCAGATTTCAGTCTCCTAAGGAGCTAGGATTACAGACATGAGTCACCAACATCTGATTTAGAGAGCACTGCTTTAATGAATCAGTATGTTCTTTCATTAACCCCTTTTGCCTTGTATTGTAGATGCTCATCTATGATTTTTCATTTTCTATATTTAGTGGTCATGACAATTATGTAGCATCACTCTATTACTTTGCAATATAAACTGTATATCTTTTCCCCATTAGTTGCTCTCCCCAGAAGACTTAGTGAATGCCTGCAAGATGCTAGAAGCACTGAAATTACCTCTCAGGTAAGGAACCTCCAAAGGGAGTTTACCACCTGTAACTATTATTTTGGACCAAGGAGACCAGAAAGCTCAGCCAGGCTTACCACCCAGTACAGCAAGCCAAATGTTCTTAAAACAACATTGTCTTTGAGCTGAGTTCACACAGCACCACATCTTCTGTCCTGGCTTTTAGCCTATCAGGGCTGGGCATGTCCTAAGGATCCCCTAGTCAGACTCTGACTTGGAAGAAGAAGATAAGTATGTGAGCTCCTCCCAGGAGGTCAGAATAACTAGCTCTCTTCCTGTAGATAATTTGTGTTGGTCTTTGCAGAGTCGCAAGTGTGGGATTAAGCTGTGAATTGTATGCTCCTTATCTTCAGGCTAAGAAAACTCTATAGTCAGGCATATTTTGTTAGCATTTATTGCAGTTCATAACTTTATTATCTGTTCATTCATGGGCTCTTCAGTTGTGTCATAGTAACTTGTGGTCATTGTTTTAAATGTTCTATTATTAATACTATCCTCAAGCCTTGGCATAAAGCAAATTAAAAAGTGTTTGCTCCTCCTTAGTGGTAGACTATCCCAGATGATTCATGGTTTTGTTCTTGCATCTCTGGTTATTTTCAGGCTCCGGGTTTTTGACAGTGGTGTCATGGTAATTGAGCTCCAGTCCCACAAGGAAGAGGAAATGGTGGCCTCAGCCCTGGAGACGGTATGTGAACCCGGTTTCCTCTAGCCATTAGGGCTTGCCACGAAGACCCAAAGGCTTCGCAACTTGAAAAGCAGGATTTCCTGTTGAATTTGACTTTACTAAAACATAGTTATTTCGCAGACTCAATTAAAAGCGGTTTATTGCTGTGTGCCAGTACCTGTTATCCTAGCCGCTTAAGAGGTTGAGAACCTAGGATCATGGTTCATGGTTCAATACCAGCTCAGACAGGGCCAAGTCTCTTATTTACAATTAAGAACCAATGGAGCAACGGCTCAAGTGGTAGAGTGCTTGCCTTGAGCAGAAAAGCTCAGAGATAGTGCCTAGATCCTGAGTTCAAGCCCAGGATGTGTACATGTGCACACACACACACATACACATACATACATACATACATACATACATACATACATACATATACACGAAATGGTTTATTGCTACTAATGATATATTTCACTTAACCAAAGTCATATATTGAAAACTTTGTGAGGCTTCTTGATTCTCTTAACCTTTTAGGAGTAGCAGAGTTAAGAGTTAGTGCTTGCTTCTCTGTTGTAGCTCAGGGTTTTCACATCAGTAAAAGACCCAGCTGTTCCTAAATAGATTCTTTACTGAAGTATGCAATAGATACTCCAGTAGAATTTTGTTATGTGTATCTAATAGCTCATTCTGGCCTCCAGTGTAGGGCCCTGTTACATCGAACATCTTATAAATGGCTCCAAGTTGATATGTGCCCTCTGTTTTATTTATTCTGGGTCTGTTAACCCCATAAAATTAAGCATTAGTTAAGATTTCATTCTACAATGACTGTCTACTTTTAGTAAAGAAATACAGTAAATTGTTTCCTGCATGGATTCTGCCTGAGCACTTCAGTGTAGGAAAGTAATCACATTTTTCCTGCTGTGTTGTGATTAGGTTTCAGAAAAGGGATCCTTAACATCAGAGGAGTTTGCTAAGCTTGTGGGCATGTCTGTCCTCCTGGCCAAAGAAAGGTACGTATGCCCTTGCCTTTCATGACAACTTGTTTCTGTGTTCTGAATGGACAGTTAATCATGGATTTTTCTCTTTATTCCCAGGTTGCTACTTGCTGAGAAGATGGGCCATCTTTGCCGAGATGATTCAGTAGAAGGCTTGCGCTTCTATCCAAATTTATTCATGACACAGAGCTAAGGATTTTGTACTTGAAATACTTCTTGGCTGTACATTTGTTTCATGTAGAGGTATTGTGACATTAAGACATGAGATAAACCCTGATCAAACTGAGAATTTGTTAAAATTCTACAGTATCATATAAAACTCTTTTCATCTTTCTCTAAATACTATGGAAAATATTATAGGAAACTACAGAAAAGTGAATGTCAATAAGGATTTAAAGTCATTCTATGGTTATTCAGAAACTTCTGAGTTTAACTTGAAACATGATGGGTTTTAACTTGATCCCCAAAGGGGAAACAATTTTATAAAGAAGGGAATTTAAGTCTTTGGGGAAGGAAAAAGAGAGGTTGCGTGTTTGAGCAGATTAGATTGCTTATTTCGATGTGATTAAGATTCACAGAATTGAAAACATTTTCCTCTGTGTTTGATGTGCCCGTGGGGGGTTTTCATGGAGGAAGTCAGAGCAATAGTGTCATTTAAGGACCTGACAACATTGGAACCAAATATCAAACTGCAGAATGCCACCAAGACTCTTTCTAAGGGCTTTCAAAGTAGCCATAACAGACCAAATAAAACACCTTTGAAAAAAGAGAGGAAAAGGGGTGTGGCTCTAACACTTGTCTAGCATGCAAGCATGAGGCTTCCCAGCAGTTGGGGAGTAGGGGAGGAAAAGGAGAAAATGTTTGACTTGTGTCTATATACTGCAACTAATTTCTCTTTATTTTTTAAGTGATGATTTTTCATGGCTGGCATTTAAAGAATGTGACTGTGTCATTTTGCTTGAAAAATTTGTGGATTTTGAAACTGAATTAAAGAGCTGTATGGATTTGCCCAGAGTTATGATTACAGATCTGAGAGGGAGACGGCATAGGAATTCCCTAAGATTGTTGTCCTGGTGGAAGGGCAGAGGAGACCTTGAACCTCACAGGAACTTCAATGCTCTTTGACCTGGAAGTCAAGAATAGGAAATAGAAAGTTAGGAGTTAACATGTCTCCTTTTTCCTTCTTTAAGGGGTCTCAGCACTGAACTAAAAATTTTTTTTTCTATTGTATTCAGCAATATGTTTTTCTTTTTTTTTATCCTACACATTATAATTTGTGTGGAGGAACCATCACATAAAAAAGTATTTCTGATAACAAAAACTGGTGACTTTTGCCTGTAGATTGCTTGAGGTTTTTTTTTTTTTTTCTTTTGGTCGTGGGGCTTGAACTCTGGGCTTGGGCGCTATCCCTCAGCTCTTCAGCTCAAGGTGAGTGCTTTACTGCTTGAGCTACAACGCCACTTCCTGTTTTCTAGTGGCTTATTGGAGATAAGAATCTCACAGACTTTCCTGCCTGGTTTGGCTTTGAACCGTGATCCTCAGATCTCAGCCTCCTGAGTAGCTAGGATTACAGGCGTCAGCCACCGGCGCCGGCAGATTGCTTGAGTTTTAAACCAGACAGCTGGTCTCCATTTGTTACTATGCTACAATGTACAGCATACTGGTATTACCTCAAACTCAGGGACCCCACAGGACAAAAAAAAGATCCCCCTTTCTGAAACTGAAGTAGAAAGAAACTGGTGGGTTTGGCCACACCTCTGGAAGAGCTAGCTGGAAGAAAACTGGGGGAGGGAGGTCTAGTTCCACACTCCAGGATTTCTAGTACATTTATAATGGGTGATATAGAAGCCACTACCAAAGGCTACTGCAGATACCCTTTGGGGAAGTGCCAGAATCCTCAGCCATAGACCCAGGGATCCCAACTCTTGATTCCTCCCTGAGAAGTGGCTGTCATTGCTTTGTGTCCTCCAGTTACATAGGAATGCTATGATCAAGGCAGCTTGCTTTAGTCTTCACTTTCAAAATTGTCACTGGCTCTTCATTGTGGTGACACATCCCCTAATTACCTCATTGCTCAGCCTCAGGTTTATTTAGGGGGTAATTCAGTGTCTGGCCACCCAAGTCTTTTAGGGGTTAGTTAGATTGTTGTGTAACTTTGTATGTCTTGCCTTTCTCTGGGTTGCTTTCTCTGTCCTGTCTCATGGCTCTTGCAGACTTAACACAGACACATGTAAATGCATTCATATACACATGACACACAGTGTCTCACCTTGTGAAGGTTCTTAAAAATCAACAATGATAGTTTAAGAGCAATTGCAATAAAAGTTCCAAGAGAGGTTATTGGAGCTACTGGATCTAGTTCTTTAATGGTTTAGACTCATTTCAGCCAACCTATATAATTCAACATATTTAAGTGACAAATTAGATTACTGATTAATCTAAGTTGTATAAAGTGAATTTAAGAGGAAGAAAAGTGACATTCAAATATACTTTGCAAATGTCACATTAAAAATAGTTATGACTGCTTCTATATTATTTTAAAGTGGGTATTCTTTGCTGTTTCCCAGATTTCTATGTATATATTTATGTTTTGCCAAACGAGCTATTTATTTTGGTAGAGGGTATATTTAAATACAACCAATCAGGCCCTAAGTGGGAAAAACAAAAAAAACAAAAAACAGCTCTACCTTGGTGCTTATCACTCTGTAATCATTGTTTCTGTTTTCTGAACTCTGCTGTAAGAACCATGTATCTCTTTGTAGCTTTATGGTTATGGGATATTTATAGTCACTGTCAAGAAAACTTTTTTTACAGTGTATAAGTGAATATTTTTTCCAGATTAAATAATTGGTCTTCATGTATATAAAGTAAAATTATTGCAAAGTTTTAAGGTGATTTTCTTACTTGGGTATTCTTTTTTAATACTCTGAAAAATACATGAAAACATTAAATCTTTCATCATAGAAAGTCAATATATTAATAATTTTCTTTTAGATTTTTATAATTAGCATTACTTGTAAATTTTTATGACTTTTATGAATTTTAGTTATCTTTGAAAATGGAAAATGAGTCACGAATTGTTCTTTTCTTCTTCCTTTTGTTGTGAATGCACTCTAGGCTGACCCTGTGTGACCACATGAGTGTCTGTCTGTCTCTTGTCTCTTATTCCACTTCCAGACTATGCTGGGTGAAGTGTGGATTCATTCTTTCACCACCTGCATACTCAAGTACCTAAAATGGTTCTTTTTTGCCCAACAACCTCAGTCTTCAGTACAGTGGAGTTACAACTTGAAAAGTGATTAGGTTTTAAAGATTTGCCTAGAAACAAAATCAACATGCTCAAAATGATCCTCGAAAAAAAAATCTCTTAAATTGCCAATAAAGTTCTCATTACAGTTTTAATCTGAATCTCTGTGTAGTGATATATAGATATGACTATATTATGCATATAGTAAATACAATATATAATTAAAATGCATTATCAACACTAGGCTTTGTAGCATTAATGATACTGTTTTAAAATGTCTTTCTTTTGCCAATAGTGGTGGTTGGATTTATGTAATTTGTTGCCAATTCCATTATTAGGATAGATTTAGAGTGTAAGCTCCACAAGGGCAGAGAGATTTGTAATTGGTTTGACTGTGGATATATTCCCTGGGCCCAGAATAGAAACTGGCACACAGTCAGCATTCAATAAATATGTACTGCATGAACGAACTTTGATGTAAATATCTAATTATGATTTGGCTCTATCCTACTTTAGCTCCCATCCAATCCAGTGAAACCATATTTTGAAATACATGGGAATTCTGGGGCACTCAGCAGCGGGTATGATATGTAGTGAATAAGATGTAGCCCCCTGCCTTAAAAAGAGGTGGCTTCAGGGGCTGGGAAGGTGGCTCAGTGGTAGAGCACTTGCCTTGCATGCATGAGGCCCTGGGTTCAATTCCTTAGCACCACATAAGCAGAAAAAAAAAAGCCGGAAGTGGCGCTGTGGCTCAAGTGGTAGAGCGCTAGCCTTGAGCTGAAGAGCTGAGGGACAGCGCCCAGGCCCAGAGTTCAGGCCCATGACCTGACCCCCCCCCAAAAAAAAAAAAAGAGGTGGCTTCATTGGGAAACTATACATGGAAGCAACGTTCACCAAAGGTAGAGTGAGGTAAGTGTCATGGAAGGGGCAGAGGTAGGTACCATGTGAGACCAACAGAGAAAGGAGCTCTGATGGAGGACTCTGGAGTCTGTGGGAAAGGAAGAACTGGTAAGCTAGACTTACAAAGACAGAGATTGCCAGTGAGAGGAAGGGGCGGGGTCACAGGAACAGCCTGAGGTGTGCCCCTTCCTGTTCCTGGACATGTTTCTCTTGTCTGCCCAGACTTCCTTTCGTTGCTTATTCATACCCACCCACAGTAGGCCAAATCCTACCTGTTCTCAAAAATTCTGTTTCCCTGGATTTACAGCTCTGCTATTTCTAAATTCCAGCAACATTATTGTCTGTCCCATATACTTGCCTATGTTTTGTCTTGTACTCTTAATTCTTGCCTTGATGCCACAGGCAAATAGACTTTGATTCCTTTAAGTTCAAAGTTCTTCTCCTAGGTCATAGGCCTCACAGGAGGTCTCTGTGACTGAACAGCATGACTTTGGGTGATAGCTCATTCTGGAATTTACAAGCAACCCTAAATTTATGTCTTTTATCCTTTTTTCAAGAGGCCCTCAACCAGACTCATCATAGCAGAACCTGTCTGGTATCTGAACGGTTTTCCTTAAATTCCAACACATGGACTATCTTCACCATGTGCAGAAGCACTGCTGAAAAGTCAGGCTACACATATAAAATCTTGTTTTTACAAGCTGCTATTACAGTGGGTCATTCGTCTTCTTACGTCTTGGTATGAACTAGTGAGTCAGTCACAACTTTCATCTCCCAGCATTCCTTAGGGAAATAAAGATCTCTCTCTATTGAGTGCACTCATTTCACACATTCTGCACAGGTCACTAGAGCAGTGGCTGACCCAGAATGAGAATTTGTTGTATCTTGAGAACCATTTTACTTTTATGCCAGATCAGGGGCTTGAACTTGGTATCATGCTCTTGGTTGGCCTTTAACTCAAGGCTGGTGCTGTGCCTCTTGAGCCTCCATTTCTGAGAACCAGTTTTTGTTCAATATTGACAAGACCCCTGGTTAAGAAAGTTGTTTTTCAATCCCTTTTTATGTGACTTCAGAAATGACTAAATTATACTTTCATTTAACAAGGACAATAATATAAGTTGGCAACAAAAATTTAGACAAAAATGACCAAGCATTCCAAAAAAGTGATTATTTTTAAAATTACCAAATATATGGGTAGAACTACTTGGACCTGGATTTAGGTGCTCCCAGCTCTGAGATGTAGCAAAAAGCCACTCCAAAACCCTTTTGAAAGGTTAATATATGGCAAGTTACCTTATGGATGGTTCACCTTCTCACAAAACTTCACTGTAGGTACTATGTGACTGTAATAGAAAAGGAGGAGTTAAGTCAGTGGCCTAGAGTTCTGGATGAAGCAGGGTTGAATATTAGGCTGTCTTAATGTTAGTGAATGAGAGTATTAGATGAAACCATCTTACCGTTGTGAAACAATAATAACCCTACCCAGGCACCTGTGGCTCACACCTGTAATCCTAGCTACTCAGGAGGCTGAGATCAGAGGATCATGGTTCAAAGCCAGCCCTGGCAGGAAAGTGTGTGAGACTCTTCAATAAACCACTCAAAACCGGAAGTGGCGTTGTGGCTCAAGTGATAGAGCGCTAGCCTTGAGCTGAAGATCTGAGGGACAGTGCCCAGGCCCAGAGTTCAAGCCCCACAACCAACAACAACAAATAATAATAATAACCCTAAAGCTTTCTTTGAGACTTAGATTGGATGGATTTAAGTAGTCCTGCCAATATCAACTATTGGATGAGAAAAGTACTTAGAAAATTTGATACCTCTCCTCACATGTTAGTGAATAGTGTTGCCATTTAACAGATGAAGTGATAGATTCAAGGATCTCAGTATGGCCTACTTCTAAGTGCCTTAAAAATCAAGGTGAACCAGTGAAATTCACAGAGGTTAAGTGAGACAAGTTTTGACAAATGCATATTAATCCATGCAGATTCCTAACCAACAATACAAGTATGGGCCTCTTTCCCTCAAACGTTTCCTGGTTCTTCTTTTCAAGTCCAGGCTCTCCTGGGGCTTGGTCTGAATGAATGGTAATAGGTTTGTTATTAATTTTGTCTGTTAAGTATTTGGGGGGTTTTGTTTGTTAGTTTTTGTAAAACCTGTGACAAATTATCCAGCAACAAGCACAGTTGTAAACGTGAAACCCATACTCTAAAAAAGACAAACTGCCTGCTGCAGGTGGCTCACACCTGTCACCTTGGCTACTCAGCTGAGATCTTAGCATTATGGTTCTAGGCCAACCAAGGCAGAGAAGTCCACTAGATTCTTATCTCCAATTAACCAGTAAACAGCCAAAAGTGGAGGTATGGCTCATGTGGCAGAGCATCAGCCTTGAGGGAATAAAAACAAAACCCAAGAGTACAAGGCCCTAAATTCAAGCCCCAGTATGGACAAACACACACACACACACACACCACCACCACTACCACCACCACCACCAACAACAACGACGAACTTCAACATAAGGGATTAGTTACTTTTAATTAGCCAAGTCTGGCTAAGAGAAGAAAAGCGCAGACGCCATGTATCTGAATGGTGAGCTTTCCAAACGCTTCAATGACATTTGGGAAAGCAACTGTACACTCACGTATCATGCCACTCCCACTGCTTTTAGATGTCTTGGAAGAAAGTGAATTTGCGGGAGAATAATGAAGTGTCTGGAGACTGCTAACTCACCCTTAAGCCCCTGGGGCTCTGTCGTAGACCGTGGGCTGAGGGTGCACGGGTGGATCTGTCCGCGGCGGCCTGTGCCCCCTCCTCCGGGGCCCTCCGGGGCGCGCACGTTTCCTGCGGGTTTCCTGTCCAGCAGTGGGCAAGCTGGAGGCGGGCAGGAAAACTTGCACTGCCCCATAAGGGCGGGGGCGGGGGCGGACCTCGCCCCGGTCCGGAATGACCCCCGCCCTCCCTCCTGGTGCCTGCCTCCCGGTGTTGTCCGAGACTGGCAGTGAGAAAGGCGCGCCTCGGGGCCAGGGCGCGCAGTCCCAGGACGCGCGCTGCTCGGCGCGCTGCCTCGCGTCCCTCGAGCCCCCTGCTCCCCTCCCACTCCCCGGCCCCCCAGCCGGATCCACTTCGCCTTTTCATCCGGCCCGGGGCCTCCGCCCTCCCTTCCCCGCCCCAGTCCAGGTAAGAAGAGCTTTGGGCAGCCGGGTGCTTGCAATCGGGTGGACACTCCTTTGTTGCGGGGACCCTGGGAGGCTCCGCTGGGGTCGGGAAATGCCCCAGGACCCAGACACCTCCCACAGCCCAAAAGCAAGCACAGGTATAGACGGCGGCGTCCCCTCCTTCCACCGCCTGCACCCCCTGGACTTAACTCTTTAAAAAGTAGGTTTCACCTCACGGTAGTTTTTAACCTGCCTCTCTCTGGGGGCCAGTGTGGCGGGTGGTTGAGTCCACATTGTTGGGATCGTTTTGTTTTGTTTTGTTTTTTAAATCGCAGCCTGGGTTACTAACGGTTGCAATAAATAAATAAATAAGTAAATAAATATTTCTTAACCCCAAGAAATCTTTTTATAGCGTACAAACACTATCAGGTAAGGCTTTTAGGTTGGCCACTGCCGGCAGGCTGGATTTCCCAGCCTGAACTTGACCTGCCACCTAGAAAAAGAAGAGCAAGGGACTTCTCAGGAGAACGGCACCCCAAACCCTGGGGTCCTGGCAGAGTGACCCCCACCAAATATATAAATGAGGCCTGCTTATATGAAGGGCTTTGGAATTGAGATCTCTTCTCATTAAGATCCTTTGCGGGGAGATCACACGCACGTTTGTTAGAGGGACAAACTCACTTTGCTTCTTCCTTTTATTCTTTTTGATAAGCCATGGGTCCCAAGCATTTTCTTTTGGGGACAACGTTAAAGGGGAGTGATAGAAGTGTTTACCTAGCTGGTTTCAGCAGAAAACATGAAGCTAAGTCTGAGTGATAGACAGGGTAGTCACTGGGAATTTTCACAACTTCTCCTATCTGTTTAGCTGATACTTATGAAACTTGTCTATAAACTTTCTGTATATGAATGCCATGTACTGTTTCTCTCCCCCCCCCCCCCCCCCCCGCGCCCCACCCCCTCCCCGACCAAGGGCCTCATGCCTGCTAGGCAAGCAGTCTACCACTGAGCTAAAACCCAGCTCCTTCCAAGTAGTTTCAAATGTATTGAAAATTTCCTTAACGTCTTATTTTCTTAAAATGATTCTCAATTTAACTGGTCAT